CAAGGTACAATCCTTTGGACCCATTTTCCTCCTTATCATTCGTAATCATGTAGCCACAAAACACAAAGAAAGATGGAAGTAAGTCGACGATACCAGTCTCTCCGAAACAATTGGGGAATGTGCTCACAGCAATATGCTGTCTATTATCGATGAAATTGACGATTGGTGCACAGAAAATGATATGGTCCTAAATCACTCCAAGTGCAAAGACCGAATTATCTGATTTGCTAAAGACACGCCGAATTTCCAGCGTTTGTTCATTAAGGTTCAACGTGCACCTCTTTATTTTTCGTGCTATATTAAATAATCTAAAGTCTCAAAGAAACTTTTCTCTAAATCCCTAAAGCTTAAAATAAGTATAATCTACGTAATAATAAATATCTTGATTTAATTTTGTAGAACTAGTCGGTTTCCTAATTTGTTTATGCTGTCCAGTATCGTAGTCCATGTCGTAGTCTCTATCATGTTAATTTTTAATATATAATGTTGTGTAATAGTTTTGAATGTATATCAGGTTAGTAAGAAAATTCTGCATGTACAATTCAACATCCTACGTAGCTGCCATTCAGATTTGTTTTAATAAAACTCCAAACTCCATAATGTTTAATGCTTACAGCTTACTGTATAGGGTTTTTCATGTTTTTGGGACAGGACTTTCAAGTTACGACCGTTTTCTAAAATCTTTTGAACGAACATTTGAAGCGTCTACCGTTTACGCGAACTAACCAACGACAACGGTTAGTAAATAGTAACAAACTAACGAAGTTAATCGACAGCATTAACGTGTGTTTTCCCGTGGAAGATCACAAACACAAAATAGAAAATATTTTTAGAGAATGTAATATTGTTTGTAAATATAAAAAAGTAATATTGTAATTTAGGTTGCATATATGGATTTATGTTCTACGCTTTACTAAGATTTATCTTACTTTGCCTAGAACAATTAAGTTCCTTTTGTTCCTAAACTTAGTAAACTACACTGCAACAAATCCATGAGTGCAAGTTGTTTTAATAAAAATGCTAATGGTAAACAATACACTTCTTATTAACTTCATCTATCAAATTATAATGATTGACCGTTGTCCGTTGTGGTTCCCGTCACTGCACGAACGGTATTCCAAAAAGAGCTTCTAAAGCATCGACCAGCAATTTGAGCCGCTGAAAATCCAAAGAATGAAACGTCCAAAGCCCGCCGTTTTTGGTCAACATACAAGTGAGGAAATCAATGAAAGGATTGTTGCCATGGCGTTTACGGATTTCATCAACATGCCTACCAGGCATGATGTTTGTCAAATCTTAAAAAGTAAAGTAATCACATGAATATGCATGCAATACTCTATCAACCTAAAAATCGTCTTTTGTTTATGTTTTGATCTAATGAGGGTAACAGGGCGGTATTCAAAAGAAAAAATCTTTGACCAACTATTACAACACATAATAATGAACGCCACAAAGAAGACATAATTGAGGCCTCAAAGAAGGGTGTCTTTGTGGACGAAAGAGCAACATCTTGGGAGCTATACAGTGTGCGGTGCGGGGTGGCACCCGGCCCTCGACTATGTCGTTCCTTTTGACACTGCGGCTGTATTTCAATGAACTGAAATCCAACCTCTATTTAATTCGATAATTTTCAAGATACTAATAATTTTTCTCATTCAGATCAAAAGTTTATATTGGCCCAAAAGGTTGGTATTCGTAATCTGGGGCTTACCTTTGATAAAAAATTTTCGTACTGTAAACAATCCTAAGGATTTATATTCAAAATTAAACACTGTTTCTTCGGAATCTAACTGGAGAGTGCCTTTCACCCATTTTGAGAAACCTAGATGCAAAACAAATAAATTAACGATTTAAGATGTGTCGCATGTGCGAAGTCACGCTGTAAAAGTGACCAAACAAAAGGCTCCTTAAAAATGGTTTCAAAATGGGGCTTTAAAATAGCCGTACATATTTGACCCCTATAATTAAGAATAGGATTCCCCAGCTCGATTGCCGATGCTTTCGCAGCTATATTTCTTCAGAAGCACGTTACCCAATAAAAATATTTTGCTTAATATTCTTGTATGTTTGCATGGCCGGTGACAGTCGTTAAGTAATTTAGCTTGTAGGTACACTACGTAAGTATTTAATACTGCAAAGCTTTCGGACCGTTAATTGCAGGTAATTAATTTCAGGTAATTGCACTGATGAAGGCCCGGCCGGTTCAACGGACCGAAAGCTTTGCAGTGTTAAATACTCACGTGTTGCACCAAGCTAAATTACTTAATATTTTGCTTACTTGAAAGCATCCAGATAACAATTCCTTGCTTTAGAAATTCCACCAATTTCTCTTCACGCCTTGTTCTTACAGCCTGGAAATTGTGGTGTAGAGATTTGGAAAGGTAGCTCATTGCTGCTGTTGTCATTATCATGGATCCACACGTTTCTCCACTAGCTCCATCTCGTACTTTTAGATGACTTCCAGGGGCGTAAAGGAAATCCATTCTCTCAACTAACGTTTTCCATATCTCTGGCTTGCTAAGAGAGAATGACTTAGTTTCGTCACAGCAAACGAATGTCAATACCCCGTCATAGGATACCTTTAAAAAGAGAAATTCTAATTCATCGGTCCCTTAGGTACACACTATTGAGTATTTAATAATTATTGCCAAAAGACAAGAAAATCGGTCGTTACAATGTAAATGTCAAGCAATTCTTCCTTGTTGATAAAATACCATGATAAACTGAATGTTATATACCTTAGAAGGCTGCCAATCTAAATGAGCTTCAGCAGCAGATCTGACTTCGTACTTAGTTGTCTCAATTCTTTCTTTCAAACGAAGCACAATATTCTTTTCAGCAGCTTCATCCTCCAAAACATCAATAACCTTTTCCTGATGTTGCAATTCCTCGTAATAATCATTGACGTCATGTTTACTCTTACCCATTTCGACGAAAGCAATTTTTTCGAGCAGTCGTCTTGTCTGAGAAGGAATTTATACAATGTAACATGTATCAGCATTTTCTGTTCGCCCAACCGTGCATAATTATTTACGACAAAGAAAAAACAAAAAACCAAAGCAGTGATCTGTTCATGTTTTGGGACAAAGGTAAAGCATTGGTTTATCAAAATTTCTTTTAGTGTTCAAAATTCATTCATCCTGAGTAAACAGTTTGAATTCTCATTAAACAACATACTTAATCATTATCGAAATAACGAAACCAATCGAAAAATATATTTAGGGCTTGGATTCTCGAAGTGTACAAAGAACCACTATGAAACTCAATTTTTAAAAAGAGAAACCAATCCGTCACCGGGTTGAACATCAAAAAAAGCCACCCAAAATGAGCATAATTGGAAAAATTTTTGTTTCCAAAATATTGAAAAATTGTATATTAATTAACAAAGCTTCCCATTTTAACAATTTTAGGATGGTTTGTTAAATATTTTACTTAAAATTTTTCTAGTTTCAAAATTAATTCAAAGCAGAAAGTTCAACGGATGTTTCTCAAACACAGGATCCACTTTGCCAAACATAGAAACTAATTGAAAAACAAGAATAAAAATAACTATATAACTATTTTCCCCGTTGAGTAATATAGGAAAATTTATATTTTTCTTTACCACATATTTTTCCGTTGACTTTAAGGTTAACTCGGTGGTCTTTCGCATCAATTCTTTACCGTTTGTTAGGGCTTTAGGGTGCCATGCGAACGTATCCACCATGAACACCATTGCAACAGTTTCACCATTTCTTTTCAGCTCACTCGCCATTTCGTAAGCCAACAGACCGCCGAACGAGTAGCCAGCTGAAAATGCGTTTCAAAAATCGTGGGCATGAGCGAGCATCCAGCTACAATAACTGACGTAACTGATGTAACTAAAAGACCCCTCTTGAATGACACGATACGGTAAAATTTATTATTTTTAATTTCTAGTTGGTAACAATATAGTTTTCATATAATTTGTTCTTACCAAGATAAAATGGACCTTCAGGCTGGATTTTTTTATTAAATCTACATATCTACGAGCGAGTGTCAGCACCGTTCCATATTCACTCCTCTCAAATGACGTATCGTCCACTCCAATACCATATAATGCAACATGTGCCTGAAAAAAATAATAACTGATGAACGAATGCCATCACTCTATACCAGATGCAAGCATTAAATAATTTAATTTGTGAAATGATGGAGAATCACTTCATATGTACATATAATTGCGTATATCCCCTGAACTTGCATTTTAGATAGATAGGATAGATTTAGACACTGCCTTAATTCATGTAATACAGCGTAACTTACTGCGGTAAAGTGTTTTTAAACCACGTATAATTTTTTATTTACCTATAATTTTTTATTTCTATCAATCAGGGCATAAAAATGCCTCGAGATTTGCAGTTTTATATGGTTTTTCGTCAAACCCAGCGTAAGGTCGTAATTGATATTATTATTGATTGATAACTTTATGCATCTTAATTGATACAAGTTTGGTTCTACCTAGATTCTGATTGGGTAAGAGCCTACAGACAATTTTCACTGACTTGTCACTTACAACGACATTAAACAATTATTAGCTTCGCTTCGGCAGATAGCATTGGCCTTGGTCCAAATATTTCTTGTTATTATACATTATAGTAGTAAAAGCAATTTGACTGGCTAATAGTTGACAGATAAATCGCGCAATCACGCAAAATTCAGTTATCTGCTAGCAGATAACTGAGTTATCTGCTAGTGAGCCTGCGGTAGTTAACAAGCGGTTTCATTTGAATTCATTCGTTAATACTATGTTTATTATTCTTCAAATTTATAATAAAACAATTATTGAATTCGGTTTTTGTGATATGCAGAGTTATCAAGGTCTCGGTAAGCGATAACGCTTACCCCGACCTTGATAACTCTGCATATCACAAAAACCTCATCCAATAATTGTTCAATATCATGCTCAGCGTCATGCAATAACTGTTAATAGTTTGTTTTTTTATCCATATATAATTTATGAATCTGATATAATAAGAATCTGATTTTTTACCCTGCAACCGGACCAAGTTGCTTGAAATCGTTACCTGTTTTTGGAAACCTTGCGCGAATGACGCTAGTCCAAGCGCCGACTTTTCGCTGGAGTGTGTCATAAATACTTTAACAAATACGTTATCTGGAGTATAAATTGGAATAACTTTCTCTGGATTTGAAGGAATATTTATGTTCTGCAGCTCAAGCCCATTGTTAATTCTTCCAATCTTAACTGTGTCATTGTAGTTAATTTCAGGTGAAATATTTTTTTTATCTTCTTCATCGTTACTTGACAAACTTGGTTTCCTTTGCTTTACTTCTTCCGAGGATTCATTGTCCGCACTCGTCGATTCTACGTTTTCTATTTGTTCCAGAATATCATTAACGATTCTTAGACCATTCACATTTGGTTGGATAAAGTAATAAGCCTATATGTTGAGGAAAAACACCCGAATTAGCATTTCATCCATGCATAATTTTATTGGCGCTTAATTTAAATAAAACTTACATAGAGTGAAGGATGATATTATAAATATATTAGAGATAGCGTATTAATTTCATAAATGTGGTTAAATTATGCAAAATCGAGAGAAAATTGCTCGCTTTTGAGACAATTAGAACATTATCCCAACTTATATTTCGCTAAATGCTCGTGAAACGCTCTCGTTTAATAATTGTTAAGTGTCTACTCTTAATAGTGCGTGAATTTCTTTAAGAAATTAGTCGAAAAAGAAGGATAGGTGTTATGAGCTCGTATTGGAAGGAAAAAGATCGTGATTCTTACACACGAGTGCAATTTTCCGTCGTATAACTGATTAGTGCATCGTTTCATTAATAAGTAATAGCAAATTTGGTTTCTCCTACAATTATAGCTACACGAGTAAAAAAAAGCACTTTTGAGTATCTTATAACATTTTTGCTGGCTCATTGATCTCTTTTTCATCAAGAGACTTACCTCAAATTTAGCCCCAATGTGTTTTCAATTCGATGTTTCATATTTGTTGCAGCAATTGAATCGATTCCAAACTTGTACAGACCGATGTTTAAGTCCACTTCAGAGGCCTCACTACCTGACCACGAACTGAGCAAACGCCTAATGAAATCTTGAACTTTTTGAATTCTCAAATCCAACGGTAGTAGTGCTAGGCTCTCCAATGTCATTAAATTGTCCAAGACTACCAGCGTTTCTTCTCGTTTCCATTGGAACCTCAGAGAATTATGAGTTCTAAGATAAACTTGCCAATTCACAGGAGATATGCAAACTTGAGCTTCGTTAAAATTTTTAAGAATGATGCGTTCCATAAACTCAGTTGCTGAAAAAATATAGACCTGAAAAATCATTGCCAAGTGGGTGAATAATTATGTATACTTATAACCAATACAATGTTGCGACAATATTTTTGTACCAAAAAATTTGCCACCGATTCAATTCTTTCTTATTGAGTAATTTCATAATGTGCCTAGCTTAATGGATTATTTTCTTGATTTGAAGTAGCTAGGAGTTCTGCAGGAATGTGTTTCAAGTTGTTATTCTGAATATACCTTGCGTATAGTGAAGAGCAAAAAATCCGTAGGTTTCCAGGACTGATGTGATATCTGCATTTCTTTCCAGTACTCCAGCACCACTGATCGGTCCCCAGTTAATAGACAAAGCAGGCAGGCCAAGCTTGTTTCGACGATATTCACATAGTTGGTCTAAAAATGTGTTAGCTGCAGCGTAAGATGCTTGCCCAACATTACCAAGAACTCCAGATATTGAGGAAAACATAATGAAGAAATCTAGATCCATCGAAAGACTGAGTTGGTGAAGGATAACACTTCCTATTAGAAAAATAAAAGATAGCTATATTAAGATATTTTTTAATTAAAAATGGTAATAGTACATGGTTTTCACAATTATTATACGAATTATAATAATATTATTACGGTATAAATGGGAATAGCAATAGACCGAGAATTGCCATATCATGCAAGCGAAATCGAATCGCGCATCGGGAAATTAACCAAAGGTGTGCACCACAACTCTCGGGAGACAAAACTGTCACTTAGAAAAATACGGTCACATACACATTTCAAATACAAGTATATTTTGCGCCAAAACACACTTGCGACGACGAAAAATAATAAAAAAACAAAAAAAAACAAGCGAATTTTCAACTCCGTCGTTCACGCCGGAGTAATTAACAAATGTATTACAAAGAGATTATTGTTCATTATTGATAATTAACAAAGGCATAGTTCATTATTTATGGTAAAGGCTTTCTTTAAGCACGATTAGCAGAGATCGTGGTAATTAAAAATAAAATTGTCGATCTAGGGTACAATTCAATAGCGTGAAGGGCTATAATGAAAAGACTTACCTTTCACCTTTGTCCCTACAACATTTCTGCATGTCTTCAAATCGGCTTTCTTGAGAAACTGGTCGGCCAATACCATAGCGGTAAAAACGATTCCAGCTACATCAGGTAGACTTTCTAGTTCGCTTCTAATGGCATTCATTTCATCCCAAGATGTGACGTCTGCTTGACGTAGAAGGATACGAGATCCAGTTTTCTTCTCTAATTGTTGGACCTCCGCAATCTTTTCGTCACTTGGTGGTGACCGCGCTGTACACATGACTGTTTTTGCCCCATTTTCAACCATCCATCTTGCGATTTGGAATCCAAAACCTCGAACCCCCCCAATGACAAGATAAGTTCGATCATTTTTTAAACCATTGATGTCAAGAGGTAGATTATAGAAATCAACCTGCCCAGGAACTGTCTCTGGCTTCACAGAAATTATGTTTAAACCAAAGTTCCCTTTTCGTTCAACTTCAGGTAGGCATCGGTTATTGGATTCATCGCCACGTTGCATAACATCGTATATGCTCGATGCTTTTTGAGCTATATCTAGAAGCTTGTTCCAAAGCCCTTTCGCTTTCAAGACTGAATAACACGAATCCAATAGCATGGAAAAATCTGCAGAACTCTTAGTTATGTCTTGTAAACTAGTCAAAATAAAGCGAACATCTTTCACGTAAACCCATGAGTTAAGCATCATAATTTCGGCCCCGTCGAGGGTACATGTAATAACACTTGCTCCTTGTTTAAGATGTTTCAGTATTTCACCTGTGACATAAGTACTGCTTCTGCTCAGAAGGCAAACAGCATCAAAATCCTTACAGCTATTATCCTTATGTTCAGCTTTCGCTACTTCGTTTTCACTTACAACCAATAACTCTCCAAATCGATCTTTACTTGACGGATTGTGAACAAGACACACAACATTTATACCTACAGACGCGGCAACGCAAGCAAAAATGTAGCATACTTCTTCACTTTGATGATAGACAAGAACTTTCTTATCACCTTCTATGCCACAAAGAAGATTTGTGAGAATGTAGTAAGACATTGCCATGGGAAATCCAATGGACACAGCTTGTTGAGTGGTGAAAATGGCTTTTATCTCCGTGAAGCAGGTTTCCTCTGCGGCAACGTAACTTCCAAGATTATCAATTTTACAGATGCCCAACACAAAGGGATCATTGTTTGCCTCCAGTCCATTGCACATTTTCCCAGCAATTGAAATAAGATCGTTCGGTTTCAGATCTTTCCAATGCTTATGAAGAATAGGACAGGCATAGTAGACTTCAATTTCTCCAATCCGTTCTTTTGACCCTTTCTGTAGAAACCACTGACCTGACCAACTCGCCATCTTTACAGGCTTTAGTGCTCCATCTTCCCCTAAAGGTGATTCCCTTTTCGTACATTTGGACTCGTCAGGATCAAACTTTTGAATACGATTGACATACCGTTCACCATTTCTATATACAATCTCTTCTTCTAGCAATGTTTTTTCAATGTCTTGTGCAATTGCATGGAAATCTTCATCGCTAGGATTGGCCGGCAAATCAATCACAGAGGCAGTGGGGACAGTGATTTCTTCTGAGAAGGTTCTTCTAAATCCAAATACAGATCCAGACCATGGAAAAGTATCATCAGAACTTCGTTCTAGTTGAGGAATTGAAATCACTCCTGAAGTGATGAACACAAGCTGAATCTGTTTGAGAAACTCTTCTCTCTTTAAAATTTCTTGAGAAATCAAAAGACAGCTCTCAAACGCAGAGCTATGAGCAGCATCAAAGTTGCGCGTATCGATATTGAATTTGCTTGCATCCACAGGCCAGAAATTGATCACCATTAGCTTTTGATTAGCTTCTATTTTCCCCAATACTTTATCTAGCGATCGGGAAAATGCATCACGAGATTCATCTGAGGTATCTTGTTTGTCAACAAAATGAACACTTCCGCTTTGCAGGACATGCTGTGCAAATCGTTCAGCAAATTTACTTTGGTCTCTCAGAATCAGCCAAACGTAATGCTCACGAACTTTTGAAGAGCCAGACGCCAACTGCTGCCAACCAAATGTGAACACTGCGTTATCAAATTTCACTTCCTCTCGATCTGACAGTATTTCTTCTATAGTAAACTGGTCAATAATCATCAAAGCACGGCCACACTGATCCAAAAGGAAAATGTTAAACGCCTCTCCTTTTTCTGAATTCTACGATCTTTGCGTGAGCATAAAACTGCTGCGTGCACGTCGTCTGTTTCAAAATGTTGATGCGTTTAATCTCCTTTGGCACAGCTTTAACGACAGATTTGATGTCCAACAGAATGGTTGTCTGTAAACATGCATCAATCACCGAAGGATGCAAGACATATTCTTCTGTATTAGCGATTTCTTCAGTCGGACATATGAGAGAAAGGGCTTCATTGCCACTGGACCACGCCCTGACTATCAAGTCAAACTGAGGACCGAATGCGAAACCCGCAGTTTCACGAGCTTTAAGAAAATCTGCCCTTGACCATTCTTCCATTGAAGATTTAAGAATTTCAATATCGTACGGATTTCCTTTCTGGGAGACTTCTAAAATGAAAAAGCTTTGAATAAGCGTTAAATGAAGATAAGCACTGCGCTTTCTACCTGGACACGACGCCTTGTAGCAATTATGGCGTCGTTTAGGTGCAACCCAGAAGTTATAATAATAATAGCTGTCATTATTTAGTATTTTTTAATGATATGGCTATCAGCCATATACGACGAGATCGAGCGAGTAGTTTTTTATATATACTACATAATATATAGCTACCATAAATACCATTTTATAAGCGAAATAGACATTGCATGAAAACATAACTATAGATGGGCAATTGATGAAACTATGCACACCATTTACAAAGCCTTAATTAAACCATATTTTGATTATTGTTCCCCTCTTTGGGACAACTGTGGGCTGTTACTAAAAAAAAGTGGGAAAGTGGATGCAAAAATCTCAAAACTAAATATAAGTCTAGCAAAGCAGTTCTCGTACATAATATTCTAAAAACGGTACTGCCCCATGCCTTCGCAAATCCTTTTCTGAGCGAAGTGTAAATGAAAATGGTTATAAACTGAGAAATTACAATACTGATTTCTTAATTCTGAGACCTAAGAAAGAGTTTCTCCAAATAAATTTTAAATATATAGGAGCTGTATTATGGAACTGTCTTTAGCATGAAGCTAAGTCTGCTCAATCAATTCGCTATTTCAAGAGGCTCATAAACTCAGTGAAGCAGGCCGATCTATATTTATTGTGTCAACACTTATTTGTATATATTATAGCTCATAATTCTATTTGTATATGTCATAGCTCATAGTGTAATTAAGTAGACGCCCCCCGTGGAAATCAGTGGTAACTGACGGGACTAGTGTCTGTAAATAACATTTAATAATAATAAAATTGATTTCATTTCAGTCAATCTTTCGCTGAATGATTTCACTAAATGATTTTCACTAAATTATATTACATTAAAACATCCGGCTTCGCATCGCGATTTAAATATTATAAAATGCTCCCTCTCGTGTTTTAAATAGTTACCTATACATCACTATCACGCTTTGAGGTTATGATCACTATCACGCAAGATTAATATCACTGCATGCATACTGCATAAGTGTCTATACCATGGTTGCGATGTTTGAATAGATCAAAAGTTTAAGGTATTTTAAAAAACTGTCCAATCACATTTTGTTATGGAAAACTTTTGATGGATTTATTAGCATTTAAATATACCGGACATCATGTCAAATTGGGAATTGCAAATCAGTTTTCTTTTGTTGAATTAAGTTGCACAAAATTCCTTATTTGACGTAATGAAATTCCTTATTTGACGTCATTCCTTATTTGACACTAATAAATCCTAAATTTTTCAATAATAAAATGCATTGCAAAGTTTTTTTTTGAAACACTGTACATTAAACTTTGGTATAGGCATATTTATACAATTTAGCTAGTCTTATATCACTATCATTTGCGTACGCCGTTCAAAATATTTGCTAGAAATGTATTCGGTTTACCTTTCGATCTATATCCATCATCAATACCAATCTGAATGGAACCCTGAGAGACAGTTAATTCTCGCTCGTCGCTTTCCACTGCAGAGATCTGAAATGATTTATTTCCACCAAGGGATTTTTCAGGTAGAAGACGTGTTCTTATCTTGTGCGAGTCATTCTCGGATATGGACAGTAGACTATCGAAACTGATGTTTCGAACATCAGGCGCTGCCCGTGGAGACAAGTGCAAGGACATAGCAAATACAATCTCTATATAAACAGCGGCAGGTATCAAGGGGTTTGAAGATTGAGAAAATTTATGATCCTGGAGATACGAAACATCGTGCAAATTGATTTCAGATTCCCAAGCCAGCAAACCACTGAACGTTTCCGTCGGGACTACTTTACCAAGAAGGGGATGGAATTTGGTGGTTTTCTTATTTTCTTCATTAGTCTTGTGCTCATCGTAAAATGTAACACATTCTGGTGGATGCGATTCGCGGTACCAATACTTTGTTTCTTGCCAAGGATATGTTGGACGGGGGAAAAATGTTTTCGATCCCGAGCCTTGCACTTTGTTCCAAGATAAGGGAACACCATTTGCGAAGAGGCGAGCCACGCAGTTTTGAAGAAATGATAAGTGCTGGCTTTTCACTGATTGTTTTGGTAGAGTTTGAACCACAACGACGTCGTTTGAACGTAGAGAATCTGACGGATGATTGTGAGACCAAGTCTGACGAACATGGTATGAAAGCTGAGGTACTGCGTTTATTTCAATAAAGAACCGGTGACCATCCGAAAACATCTTTTTTAATACGGGCTCCAGTAAAACCGCTTGTCGGATGTTACGCCACCAATGGTCAAGTGATAAGAGATTACCGGGCAACTTAGTGCCGGTAACAGTTGAATAAAATGGCACATTGCTTGAAGTTTCACAAACTTTGAAATCCTTTGTGAGATTAAGGAATGCTTGCTTTATTTCATCCATTTCTCTACTATGGTATGCTCGAGTCGTAGTAAGTTTCTTCCAAAAAAGATTGCTTCTTTCACTGGACACATGGTTTTCCACCAGCTCCATTGACCTTTTGCTACCAGATAACACAACATTACCTGGGCTATTCACGGCGGCAACGTCGACCTCATTTGTCAGTTGAAGATCTTGCAGCATATGTCGAGCTTCCTTTTCTGTCATCCCAATGGCAGCCATACATCCTGTTGGTGAACATTTCTCGTGAAGTTGAGAGCGAAACAAAACCAACTGCAAAGCTTTATTCAAATTTAATGCTCCAGATGCCCAGGCTGCAGATATTTCTCCAAGACTATGACCAATAACCGCGGACGGTAAAACACCCCATGATTTTAGTAGCTCGGTTAAAGCAAAATGTATGGCAAACAGAGCCGTCTGTCCGATTGGATTTTCATGAATTCGCGACGTTTCTGCGGGTTTCTTGAGCTCAGAAATCAAGGACCAGGGGGCTTGGTATTGTTTAAGGAGTGCGTCAATTTTTTCAATGCTTTCCTTGAACTTTGACTCATGAACTAGCATTTCTCTTGCCATACCATACCACTGTGCACCTTGACCACCATAGAGGAATACGACTTCACGACGCGGCTTAGTGACGGCCCCTGTAGCCACCAATCTTTCCCATCCGTTTTCCTGATCAGAGAACATATCTAATGCCTTAGCTGCATCTTGAAATGAATAAAAGCTAACCGCCAAGCGATAAAGTTGCATTGTGTACCTTTCGTTGAGGGAATAACAAATATTATCTTTAAGAAGTTCGTCGTCATCAGGCTTTATCTTTAGCGATAAGGACACCTTTTTAGCCATTGCTCTCAATGCTTCTTTCGACGCTGCCGACAATGTTAGAACTCTGTTGGATGAATTTCTGCTTGGGATTATAGTTGTTGGCTTTGTAGTTACTTCCCTAATGATTGCATGGGCATTTGCGCCGCCGAATCCATACGAAGATACCGCGGCGGTTCTCGGCTTATCATCCTCGGTTTTCCAAGTTTCATTGGAAACTTGAACCACCATTTTTCTTTCAGGCATCATGAGCTGTGGTTTAACTTGTTGAACATTAATAGTAGGAACAAATTGGGCATGTTTTATCATCAGACATGTCTTGATTAGTCCAGCTAAACCTGCTGTTGACTCCGTATGGTTTACGTTTGATTTCACTGATCCTACACGAAGTAATCTTTTGCCACTATTGCCATAGACTGCTGATAGTGATCCCATTTCGACGACATCTCCAACGGCTGTACCGGTGCCATGTGCTTCCACGTATGTTATATCGTCCTTGGTCAGACCTGACTCTTGAAGAACTCTCTTAAAAAGAGCGGCTTGTGTTACCTGACTAGGTGCTGTCATTGGAATCGCTGTTTGGCCATCATTATTTGTTCCGCAAGCCAAGACCTCTGCATAGATATTATCTCTATCATCTAAGGCTGTTTGGGTAGGTTTTATTAAGATTGCAGCTACACCTTCTCCTCGCCCATAGCCGTCACCTTTGATATCAAAACATTTGCAACGACCATCTTCGGCTAACAGCCCAGTTCTGCAGCATGCCGTGTGAAATTGGTTTCCAATGAGAATTATATTAGGGGCACAAACTATAGCTGCGTCACACTCGCCAGTTTGTAAGTGTTGAAATGCAATGTCCAAAGCAACCAAAGACGAGGAACAAGCAGTATCCAAAGCGATGCTAGGGCCAGTTAGGTTTAGCGAAAAAGAAATGCGATTGGCTATAACTGACATAGAGCAGCCAGTTGACGAGAACTGATCAATCTTTCTAATATTCGAATGATCAAAAACCAGTGCACTATATTCCGTGCACATAGATCCAACATAAACGCCAGTTCGACATTGTTGTAAGTCCTCAAGGGGTATGCCAGCGTCTTCAATCGCTTCAAAGACAACTTGAAGAAGTATTCGCTGTTGGGGATCCATTGAACGGCTTTCGCTTGGAGATATTCCAAAAAATTGAGCATCAAATCCTGTAATATTTTCAAGAAATGCGCCGGTAAGGACGTAATGCTTCCCTGGTGTGTGCTTCCCTGGGTTAAACGAATCTGTGAACTCCCTTGCGTCTGGCCTGTTCATTGGATAAGAGCCAATACTACATCGCCCTTCCACCAACATATCCCAAAATGCATCTTTCGAGTTTGCACTACCTGGAAAACGACAACTCATTCCGACAATGGCAATTGGATTGCACTGTTTGGTTTTTGCGTCTAATTCAGATAAACTTCGGCTTGTATTTCTACTAGATTTGTATCTTTTCGTAATGTTGAACCACTTCATGATTGACAAGTCAAGGTTACTTTCACGAAGATTAAAGAGCTTTCCAAGTAGAGACAGGTACACAGGTAGTATCACCAAACCATGAAGTAAACCAAGAAAAACGATACCAACAAACATTTTGAAAAACGTCTGAAATACCATGGAGGAGGTAAATCCCGTTGGCATCATTCCAAGGAATGTGCTAAGCCCACCTAAAAACACACTGCCGCCTACCTTGCTTAGAGCATCGATAACACGGAGTTCGGGAGTTGTTGCCCTGGAAGAAACAAAGTGGAAAGCGACATGTGCGTTGTAATCTACAGAAAATCCCAAAGCCATAACAAGGTTGATCATAGAGATTGAGTTCAAAGAGACATTCCAGATGTACATCAGACCAAATAGTTCAAATATAAGAGCACCGAATCCCCATATAAGACAAAATATTACCACAAAGTGATTAATAAACAACCACGATATCAAAATAATTGAAATTCCAGCAACAACCAAGTTTCTGATGGTTTCATTAAGTACATGAGCATACTGTTCAAAGTATATAAAAGGCAAGGCAATAGCAAATGCACGAGCATCCGTGGAACGGAGATCCTTTCGAATGCTCGCCATCATATTTCTTTGAAAATTTGAGTCAGGATCACTTTTACAATATACTAGTATCCGTGAAGCCGTCAAATGAGTTTCATCTTTCGAAAATTTTAGATCCTGGGCAAACCTTTGATACTCCGGGAGTGAAATAAACTCCTTCAAGTAGTGATGGAATATTCTCGTATCATCGATTTTGATGTTTCTATTCCGTGCCCACGACGTATATTGGGATAGCCACGATATCTTTCTTGGAGAAAAATATTCGTTACTTTCAACTAGAGTTTCAACTTGGGAGTATATTTTCTGAATTTCAATACTGGAGTGATCAGTTATTTCTGGGAAAATTATGCTAACTTCGATATTAAGGTTAAAGTTTTCTTCATAAACATTTAGGAATTTTCGGAAATGTGAGTCTTTCGTTGTTAACCACTTCCTGTTAAAACTTTCATCGAGGCCAAGAGCGCCATAAATTCCAAAAGCTAGGAGAAGTAGTGAACCTGAGAACACAAAGGCTTTTCCAACAGGGGAAGTAATTAGTTTTCCCCATGCTTTCATAACGTTGTCAAAGCCACTTCTCCGAATTCCAAAGCAACAATCAGTTGGAGGAGGACTCATTAGGCAAGGCAAGAAATCTCTGCGTCGAGCGTTGATTCTTTTAATATCGAACCACATGCAACCAACAAAAAATGTCAGCAACAGGATGAAAACAGATGAAATTGCAACAGCTGTGTAAGTGCAGAAAAGCCGAATCGAAGGGAAGATGGAACTACTGCTAACGGCAAATGCTACAAGATCAGTAAGGGTTGTCATGGTAATAGTTGGACCACTTCTAGCCATTGTCCCACTTAGCATATGCATTGCAGGCAAATCTTGACGGATCATTTCATTAAGTTCGTGTAGGATAATGAAAACATCGTCTATGCCGATACTTACAACCAAAAACGGTAGAACACCAACCATGCTGATAAAGGGAACACCAACAATCATTAAGAAGCCAAGTGCACTCGTGACACCTAAGTAAATGGACAACAAGGCACCATATCCTAACAATTGATGACCAAAACGAGTATCAGCACATCTTCCATTCACAATGCCACTAAGAATGCCCATGATTGTAAATGTTACTGCAAAAAACTTAATATCAGAACCAGTACTTTCTGATACCGAGTCGTCCAAGCTTCTTTCTGCAGCAAAAAAAATATTGGCACAGGTAGTGTTTTCTGAAAATGATGATACTTTTTTTAGGAAAATACTTTCCCAATCCAAAATGCTCTTCTTCTCCTCTCCATCTCTATCATATTCTTTCATATAGTAAACCATTCTCAGCGCATTTGTGGAATCAAGTGAATCGTCGGAGGCATTATTTCCAAAAATTTTATTAAAATTATCGACGAGTCTTCTGCCATTGGCCATAAGAAAAGCATCATTTTGTAGAAATGTCTGGATACGTTGTGTAATATTGGCAACCAAGTTTTTCTTTTGATAACCGAAAACCTCTAACAGATTTGTTGAGGCACAACTTCTATTTGAGTTTTTCCTATAACAGTGTTCGTCGTAGTGATCTATATCTAAAATAATGTTGTGTAAATCGATCATTTCTGCCAAACATTCTTGCGACAGAACGGATTTGCCATGTTTAGGCAAAACAACCACCTCTTCTTGTCGTACTTCGAGTTCAAACCCTAAACTTCTCGCCTTTTTTATATCCTGTGATGCTTCACTGTTTTCAGGTAGGTACAAATATTTCACATTTTTGTCAACTTTTAACATTGCAAAGCCACACGTTAGGCCAATAGTGACAAGCAGACAACAAAATATTACTCGTAAAGGCCGACGTGAAATGAAGATAGCAGATATTTCAAACAGTTTTTCAAGAAATATGATCAAAATCATCTGAACCCAAGCCCATTTCTCTCTGTAGCAATAACGTGACTTCGAAACACCATATTCCTCGTTCGTAGTGTCAATATTATCAGCATTGCTCTTTGTCTCTGAATTGATGCTGTCAAGAAGGTATAAACAATTAGCTACAGTCAATTTATTAACACGGAACGGCTAAAATGGGTACGCTGAGATGAGGAATAACCGCACCCAGGTAATGATATGAGTAAATTATTTCGTTAATGCGTCCAACATGCCTAACCGAGTATTTCATTATGAATTGAGTATTATAAAATTATTATTAGTTAGCAACACCTAACATTGTGATACGTTTTAGAGAAATGCGGTTCCTACGAGGGAGTTTTGGATGTGTTTAATAGCCACCATTCGACTACCAATGTTTCGTGAAACGCGTTTTTATCTATAACTATATCGACTTGTTTAGCAGATTTTCTCAATTGATAGTACATTCATTCACCTTTCAAACAACCGGCCTCTCCTCAACCCTGTATCCGAAAGCTTTCAAAGCTCCGCAGTGGTGAATGAATGTCTCTTACCACCTTCTAAACCTCTTTACTCCTTAATGGTGAACCATATAATATATCCGAAGGCATCTTTTACATTCTCTTTTGGTCAATTTGATGAATCTGTTTGTTGCATATTTCTAAGGTCATCCACGTGAAAGATATTATTTCAAAACGGTTTTAAAATTCAAAATATCAGTTATGCTTACGCGACGCGAACCAAAATTTAATTTAAACAATCACACGTTTGTAAACGTTTGCTAGTTACAAGTTTCAACTCGTCTTAAACTCACGCATGCGCATATCTTGGAAAAACGGCAAACGTCCGTGACATAATGGCGGACAATCTCAATTGGGCATTTGCATTCCCCGGATATACTGGCGGACAATCTCAATTGCGCATTTGCATTCATCGCCCGGCGCTTCGCACCGCCTCGGACATTTCTAGCTTTTGGGTTGTTCCTGCATCACGATTTCCTCCGTTATGCGACAGGAAGAGAAAGTGTCGCATTTTCTTGAATTTGAGCGCGCATAAGCATATTTCGTTAATATCGGGCGCAACTTTGTCACTAGAAAGAATTTTTTAAGACTAGACTGACAATCAATTGTTTTACCTTCTACTTGCGGTATCAGCAACGGTCGTTCTGGCAGTCATCCTCGCCTTTAATTGGTACGAGATTGCCAGAGCTTGTCCCTGAAAAATATTTTAGCGGCCACGTTATTTTTTTTAAGATAGGTCAGCATTTTTATTTTAAAGGTAAATTTTATTCAGGCGTATTTTATACGTTTTTCACAATAAATTTTCAAATTTTGAGAACATTGGAATATTTTATACACGGCTTTCATTTCATGTGTATAGGAGCAGTGGCGTAATTAGAATGATAATTGGGGTGGGGTTAATATTTATATATTTAGTTCTGCCTGACAGATCACGTTTGTATGTGCAATAGCTTACAATAGAAATCCGTCGGGCGGAGCTGAACATATGAATATTCACCCCCCCCCCTAATTATCGTTCTATTGACGCCCCTACGTAGGTTATTTGAACAGAGCAAATACGAATCAGTGGAAAATCAGCAGGCTTGTATGTATTTTGTCGTCTTTGAAAAATTATGTTGGACAAAAATATATTGAAAATGACGATTTATCTAAAACGATTTATTTAAAAATTTCCGGCGATGCAAACTTAAATGTTTCTGTAATCGATCCTGACTATTTTTTCTCAAAAAAAAAATAAAGAGCGCGAGAATTAAACGAAAAGTTTTACTAATTTGGGTTTTACCCTGAGCTAACATTTGGCATAATTCGTTGCTTGAATAAACAAATTATGCATTATTTCACAATGCCGTATTGTTTCATGTGGACCAATCTTCGATCGCTTTCTTTCGCTGTACCCCGCACCATCAGCACAGAAGACCCTGGGAACGAGGTTGGCTAGTACATCGTGTTTCAATGTTTCACTTCAGCGAAAAATCGACATATTTCAGCTGCGGGCAAAACACTCCGTTCGGTCTTCCTTCTTCGAGTATGCTTCCATTTTGCTTCTTTGTAGTACAAAGACGAGCTTTGTGACCAAGCGTATGTTTAAGCGTCCTTAGCAGTAAGATTAAGTTAGATTAATATTTCTAAACATAGACAGATCGAAACAAGCTCTTAAATTATGACGCAAATAATTCTTTGGCTGTGGAAAATCGAAAATATGCCATGGAATATGTTGCTCTATGTTGCGAAACAAGTTATTTCAAGTGATTAGGTTATACACTGCATCTATTTAAAGCGCGAAAGTAACCTGGACTGTGCATCTTTCTTTTAGTATTGTTAGTAGTCGTCGCTTGTAATTTTGCATGGTGATTTCACAATATAAGTAAATTAGCTTGTAGGTACACCACGTAAGTATCTAATACTGCAAAGCTTTCGGTCCGTTAACCTGGGCCTTCATCAGTGCAACCACTTGTGAACACATTTATACGTCAATTGAATATCACGTTCGTCGTGATTTATTCACTCTTACAGCGA